GACGTGACATGTTCGTACGAACCCTTTGTACGAACAAAAGTAAGAGAAATTTAGGATAAGAATACGAACATGTTCTTGCATGAGGCCCATTGTCTCAGTGTTTCTGAAAAAAATGTGTGGTTTAGCAAGGTTCATGTTGTTGGTCAAGATTATTTATAGGGATGGGAATTATGTTAAATCAACATTTTTCAGCTTTTTATCATATTATAATACCTTTCCACAAAGACTAGAGTCTAGTCTAGTCTAGTCTGGTGCAGTCTAGATTATTTTAGCTTCACCTGTAATGTGAGATTTAAGTCAGTTGTTGTTTTCCTTCAGGTGGCCCAGAAGGTTAAGCACTTCTTCAGAATGTACTCCATGAATCGCCACAAGATGACCACGGTGACACCGTCCTACCACGCCGAGAGCTACAGTCCTGATGACAACCGTTTTGACCTTCGACCTTTCCTCTATAACACCCGCTGGACGTGGCAGTTCAGGTGCATCGACAACCAGGTAATAAACAAGTTCATGCTCCTGGTTAAATCAAACCGGACAAACTGTTAGGAGTTAAACTGAAAACAAACAATAACCATGTTTTTATTCATATTTTAAGACGTTTCTCCTTTAATCATTTCCTACAGGTGTCTCAGGCGACAACAGAAGCTCCAAAACAATAAGGCAACAAACCACAGGATTATAATAAATCTGTCCTTATAAAGATTTTTGCCTCCATATCTGCAGTTGTTTATGATTCTTTGTTGGTTGTGTGCAAAGACAATCAGTGAACTCATTAACGTGTGTTACCTGCTGCTGATGCTTGGGTTTTCAGGTTTCCTGTAAGCTACAAAGWAAATATTTTACACAAAAATCTGAAATGCATAAAGTACATTTTATGTRTATTCAATAAAAACAATAAAACTTAATAAACTGTTTTAAATGCCTCCTCATTATAATAATTATAAAGTTATAAACAACTGTGAAACTCATTRGCTTGTGTTAAGAGGCTTCAATAGCTCATAAACATGAAAGATGTGAAGGAATAAAGGAGCATTTTCCATATCAGAATCAGTAAGGTCTGCAGTTTGTAGGATTACTTAAACCTGACTTGATTTAGCTGATCCTAATCAGCCCGGCTTGGCTTTCCTGAATCTGATTAGGCCAAGATTCTCCAAAAATAAAAAAAGGCAGATTTCTCCACTTATCCTGWATTAATCAGTTCTACTTCTATGAAACAAACCCCAGATTATATGTTTGTTCAGCTTTGTTGGATTATCTGAAGTGAACTTCTTGTTTTGCTCCTGGCTCTTTGTGGTGGGCGATACACGAAATGTAGGTACCGATCCTATACCAAATAAATGTTAGTATGACTGATGTCGATACTGAGACTTTTTACTTGAAACGTCATTGAATAATTTTGTGATTTTGCTCATAGTCAATTATGATAAAAGACTAGAAATATTTCATAAAAATGTTTTTTATTGAGTGAACCACAGGAATATAAAGCAATGTAACAGTATACAAATAAAAGATTCTCCTATTATCTTCTACAACATATTTGCTTAAGGAAAAAGGTCAMTAGTGCAAAATAACTACATAAAAGCAACAATGTAACAAAAATATAAATATAACCATGTCAACAAGACAAAAATATATTCTGTTGCAGTGTTGTATAAAGTACCTCAAAGTGATACTTGAGTAAAAGTACAAGTATCTTATCATAAAATTACTTTGGTAAAAGTTAAAGTCTCCTCTAAGAATATTACTTGAGTAAAAGTCTTAAAGTATCTTATTTATTTTGTACTTAAGCATTAAAAGTAAAAGTATTGAGTAAAAATGAGCAGTTAAAATTTTCCTAAATGACATTTAACTCTCCAAAAATATTTTTTCTAATGGGGTGCAGCTGGGATGGACTGTGTACAATACAATACAGTGTCAGAATGGTATATATTTATACTTCTCATCCAACCACAATTAAATTCACTCTTTCTAGGAGACACAATTTATCAGGATAGTATTTTTTTTTATAGTAATAACAACCCAGAATAAAATAGGAGTTTCAACTTTCTACTTCTTATCATTTTAAAAAATGTAGTGAGTAGAAATTACAGATAATTGTGTAAAAATGTAATGAGTAAAAGTAAAAAAATACTCTAAAAATAATTACTCAAGTAAAGTACAGATAACCAAAATTTCTATGTAAGTACAGTACAGTAACAAAGTATTTGTTACTTTACAACTCTGTTCTGTTGCATGCGACACGAGGAAAAGGACTACTGACCAACTCCAAATAATTTGGAAACTCTGCACTGACTTTATGTTTCACTTTATTTGTGAAATAATAATCTGTAAAATTTAAATTAAATAAATATCGATCTGCATAAGAAGAAGAATCGATCCGAAACTGATTCTACGTTTGTGTATCGATATGTAGATCGATTCGGCCAGCCCTGCTGCTGTAACTTCCAGCTCCTAGCTCCGCCTGCAGGATGTGCTGTAGATGAACTTTTTGTTGTTTGTGTAAAGTGATACTTTAGAACATCGGGCAGAGGGAGGAGCAGCTCACGGACTTCCCTAAAAACATATGTTCTCCAGCAGCAGGCTGTTGAAACTCGTTCTGCTGTTTTKATTCTCTGTTACTCACAGGACAGAGGTCGGCTCGACCCCACGGTAAGCTAGTTTCGCTTTTCTCCCGTTGAGGAGCGGCCACGCTGCAGATGGAAACGGACCGTCTGCTGGCCGGGAACAATGACCGAGACAACGGGGATAGTTATAGCTGCGGGTCGGGAGCGAGGAACGGAGGAGGAGGAGGTCGAGGCAGCAGGAGGATGTCGTACTCTGTGGCCGAGAGCTCGTGCAGCTGCGACAGGAGCTCAGGTGAGTGCGTGGGGCCAGGAACTGATCCRGGAACAGCAGGACAGGTGCTCACGATCACATGACTGAACCACAGTACTGAGAGGACCAGGACAGGGCCTCGGTCTTTCACTTACCAGGGGCCCCTGTTGGTTTTAGGGACAGACAGTACAGTATAGTGTTTATAACTGGTTAAATAATGGTCATATAGGTGAATAAGAAAATAATAGTGCGCACAACTCAGATAGACAGACAGACAGACAGACAGACAGACAGACAGACAGACAGACAGACAGACAGACAGACAGACAGACAGGTCCATTGTCTGTCCTTTAAAATATACTTAGTACAAAAAGTAAGGAAGTTTATGTTTGGTAGCTTATTTCTTTGTTGTAACAATGCTTATTGACAATCTTATACAGCTGGGAAGCCTATCCATTTCCCTTTTAAATGGTGCCACATTTGCAAGGAACATGTATTTGTGGGATGAGCAGTAAAGCTGAGCTGACATGGGTTGCCAAACAGTTTATTCTGCTGTTATTGACTCTTGTTTTGAGCTTCTGGTACACACAGGTGCTGCCARTCAGATGCTCWATAAGATTTATTYGCAATAAGCATTGTTACWCTTTTTTGTGCTAAGTTTATAAACAAGGACTAGTATGTGCATGAATGTGTATGGACATACTATGGACATGTACATACCTGTTAGGTTATACAGCRGTGGTGTCCAAAGTCAGTCCTCAAGGGCCGGTGTCCTGCATGTTTTAGGTGCTGCTCTGGTTCAACACAGCTGAATCCAAGGAGTGCTTAGTTAGTAGGCCTCCTCAGTATGCCATCAAGGTCTGCAAAGGCCTAATGATTAGGCACTCCTCAGCTCTGTTGAACCAGGGAAGCTCCTAAAACATGCAGGACACCGGCCCTTGAGGACTGACTTTGGACACTACTGTTATACAGTATACGGTGCATGCATAGTGTTATCTGATTAACATGAAACCAGGTACATGATTAGGCTTATTTTTGCTCATTAAAAGAAATTACATTTCTAAAAATAACAAAACTAGATATTTCCCGTGTTCAAACGTATAAAACAAGACCGAATAAAAAAAATACATGTGGGAAATGAAAAAAATGACAATTATTGGTGGTAGAAACTAGTATTTGTCTGTGTGTAAATTAGTTCAGCTTTTAGCCATTCGTTTTCAGCCTGAGAATTAAAAACTCTGAAATCAGGTAGGATTTTTATTACAAGCTGTTCTAAATCTGAGGAGCWCTACAGAGTCAGGAAGATGAACCAAATGATGCCTGTTTTTTTATTGGAGCTCCTTCACTGCAGCTTTCCAAATCCCTGACTGCCTCTCGTACAAGACCATTAACACATTTGAAAGTTGGCTCAATAAAAGAAAAAATGTATTGACCTGAATATTTTAAAGCTTGAAAACTCGGTCACACAATAAGGAACGTGTGACAGAATCTTATTAGGCAGTTCCTGGTGAAGATGATCGAACAAGATTAAATTGAATAATTTCTACAAACCTTATTAATAGCTATCTCAAATTTAAGATGATGATCCAACCAAAACCCAAATATTCAAAGTTGTCTTCTTTTTTGTATTTTCCTTTTGTCCATAACAGCATTTTTTTCTGGTTGTAAAACATGTTGAAACTGTTGTCTGTACGTTTATAGAGGAGGTTATTACATTTCAGTTACGTAATATTGTTGTTGGCATGCGTGAATGTGCAACTAATTCTGACATTAATGGCTTATAACAYGTTTGTTACAAGTTGAGCCTGCTTACAGAAACTGAGCTGGAAGAACATTTAATCTSAGAAAGATAAAAAACACACACGAAGCAAAAATCATTTAAAGTGTTTTCAGTCCAACATTTGACTTGCATTACCTTTAACTCACTGCTGTTATCTTCTGCTGCTTGTGAGTTTTCTCAGGTCTGTAGTTTAGTTTCAAGTCATGGGTTATGAAACCATTACAGTAGCTGAGATTAGCAGAGTCTGCTGGAGGAAGCAGCACAGATAACCTTGAGATATGAAGTTCCTACATGATTATTCATTCATTCAGATTCTTCTTAAAATGTCATCTGCTGCAGTCAAATTTCCATCGTGTTTGTTTTTCCGTCCATCCATCCAGTCTCTTTAGCTGCTGGGTGTGGAACAATACAAGTCACTAACAAAAACACATTATTATTTATTACTAAAAAAGTATTAAACCTGCTTAGTACTTAAAAAAAGCAGATAGACTAACACATTCTCACTCCCAACCCGTCACATATTGATGCTTTTCCAAGGTTCCTACTGCAACTTATTTTGATGCGTCAGGTAACCCCTTCGCTTCAGTTATTGACGCACCAGGCATTTCTGTGTTCCCTCGGTGTCCTGTTTTGACGTGTTGGGACGCAAAATATTGAGGTCTTTGAGTTGGGGTCCGTGGTTAACATTAGGGATCAGGTTGATGGTTAATTTTAGGCACTAGGGTGAGGGACAGGATGTCTAGAGTGAGTAAAGGTAATTTTAGGCTTTGGGATGGTTAGATTTGTGCATTTTCTACATTTTCTGAAATTATGACAACTAGGGCTGCACACTATATCGAACATTCATCGACATCATGATAACAGCCTGTGCAATATGCATATCGCAACAACTGCATTAACTGCAATAAAT